AAAAATATTTACTGAAGTGCCGCTAAGAAAGAAAATTCTCAAAAGTGAATCTTTGAATGAGCGCGTGTTGAAGTAAATCATGAATTTACGCACACGTACCGATACTCATGGTTCACTGCTGCTGCTCAAACATTCATGATTCACTTTTGCGTGTTTGCTGTTTTATGTTTCGTTTCAAAATGTTTATTCCTGTATTGCCATTTTCATTCTCACAGCCTCATTTGTGTTGTTATAAGCCATCCCATCGTACATTATGCATGAGTGACAGTGACGGAACAACAGCGCAGCATCAAATGCTATTGTTAATGCGCTGTGTAAATGGCACCAATACAAACGAGTAAACACTATATAATAAAATGTAATATTCAAATTTCCAAGCAATATTTCTTGCCATCACGACTTTATTTTGTAAAATTTACAATTATGATTTACAATTTTTCATCTATGCGGTCGTTTTAAAGTCTGTTAAACGATTTTTAAATATATTGGTTAGGTGTTCTCGATTAGTATGTATATATGTAAGTGTGTGATGATGAAAATAGTGTTATTTCATTTTCATTATACTTTTATATTATTTATTAACCCTCTGATCGTTTGTCGGGTGTACAACGCCCGAGGCGACTTTGAACCTCGAATAAAAGTACCAAAAAACGAAAAAATCACATTGAAATAGGTACCATTCGATAGCTTGAACCTTTAGCTATACGTCAGTGAAATTTCATGTGCATATGTGTAAGAATGTGTGAGATATTGCCTCCCACAACACATGTGCGCGCGTTCGTTTCTTAGGGCGTACGACGCCCCAAGTGCATTTTTTCATGAAAACTGGACTGTGATAAGAGATAACGATTTAATGTCTTCGGCAAATATGTAGTACTAGAGGTCCTCTACATCTTTACTAAAGACAGATATCGCTTATCTCTTATCAGTTCCGCAAAATACGCGAAAAACCGCGAAAACGCAAATATTCGGTTTTCCATTTATCACGGAACTGATAAGAGATAATAGATACCTGTCTTCAGCAAAGCTGTAGAGCAGATTGGGTTCTACAACTTTGCTCAAGAAACCAAGTCATTATCTCTTATCAGTAACGCGAAAAATGATAAGAGAAATCTCGCGTTTTTCGCAGTTTTCCGCTTAACTGATAAGAGATAACGAAATAAAGCATGTGGAAAATTGTAGTACTTGTGGTCCTGTACAACTTTGCTGAAAACAGATGTCACTTATCTCTTATCAGTCAAGCAAAAAAAAATTATCAAAAAACCCATATGGTGGGAGATCTTTCGCGGTTTTTCGCGTATATTGCGTAACTGATAAGAGATAAGCGATATCTGTTTTCGGCAAATTTATAGTGCCGGCTGAATACTACAACTTTGCCGAAGACACCAATTCGTTATCTCTTATCATTTACGCGAAAAATCGCGAAAAACGCGAATTTTCTCTTATCATTTTCCGCGGAACTGATAAGAGATAAGGAGATGGTGTCTTCAAAAAATTGTAGTACCTGACTTGCTTTACAACTTTGCTGAAAGCACTCATCATTTATATCTTGTCAATTCCGTGAAAAATGAGGAGCCGAAAATTCACGTTTTCGCGGTTTTTCGCGTATTTCGCGGAATTGATAAGAGATAAGCAATATGTGTCTTCAGCAATGTTGTAGAGCGGGTTAAGTACTACAACCTTGTCAAAGACACTAAGTCGCTATCTCATATTACAATCAAGTTTTCATATAAAATGCACTTGGGGCGCTGTACGCCCCATGAAACGAAGTTAAGGTGTAAACGCAACAAACAATCAGAGGGTTAAATTAATTATTTTTCTTTGTCATCTTTCCTAGGCTCCAAAAATGTTACCAATGAAGAATTTTTTCAATGCTTCAATGATTCAGTAAAACTTTTCCATGAACTCACAGCATGCATTTCGGATGATGAAAGGCGTCGATTGACTGACGATCCAGGTATATCGCATGATAATTTTGCGCTAAGAAATCACCCCACTCATCAAACATCATTTTTTTCTTCTACTCAACACAGAAAGTTCATTAGCAGTCCGTATAATAGCATAAATATGTGGATAATGGACACGTGTCATGATTTCACATATTCTCAAAAAAAAAATAAGAATTTCCCCGAAAGTCTCGTACTCCCATTTTTATTCGTAAATTCAGCCAGAACTTAGCAGTATTATATGAATTGAAAATGTGAATAGAAAACATTGAATAAAAAGCTTAAATATCAAATATCGTATCAGTCAGTGTGTAGAATAATTCTAAATCACATGTTGCGAGCTGATAATGTAACAAAATGCAATATAATCGATGTCGAAAATAACAACAACAATAGCAATGCCGAACGAAGCGAAACGATTTTTGTGGCCATGTCGCGCGCGCTCTTCACTGTGTGTGAGCCGTGCAGGCTTGTATGTATTGCCATCGTATCAGAGGATTCATGTTGATCTTTTGATGAAAATCTATCAACAACTTGCAAACAAGGTTCAACATGCAGTTTGCACGCGATAAATTAGTTTTTGCCATTTGATAAGCAGGATAATGATTGCCGTTCATTCGGTATTTGTTGCTCGTAGCTTCAATGATTTCAGCGTTGCACTAATTCTAAAGTCGATATGAGTCAATATTCTGATGCCTGATGACATGAATGGAACAGGTCAATGCGAAAAGTTGTTCAAGATATTACTGGAGTAAGAATGATAATACGAACATTTTGAACAAGGTATATAACATAAGAAATACACGATGAAACTACTGGAAGCAGGATAATATCGTCTAAAAAGCACATTCATGACGGTTAGAGTATATTACTTTTCCGTACACACCGTGTCAAGGGAAAGTATAGGAATTGGTCCCGAAAACATATGTCGCAAAATTAGCTTACCAGTAAACATCCCATACTGTTACACGCCGATTTTCAAATGCCCATGCGCGTTCGAAAGGGCATCCCTCAAAACGTCCAAAAACAAAATATTACGATCCCATATTCATATTTGGGGTAGTTATGAGGGTATGTTTATTTTGGGGCTGAAAATCGTGGTTTTTACATGTCAATGCACTTTTTTCATACTAGAAATGGTTTGGGAACAATAGTTTGTTGATATGAAATGTTCATTATACTCTAGAGAATCAAATGACACTTTGGGTGGACCTGCCCTTCATCCCTGTGACGCGGGGTAGGGTCAAAAAGTGCCAAAATAGCGAAAAATGATAGCGAAAAATTGGTTAGTTCATCATGAAAACTCATGGAACGCGTAGAAAACCACTTTTTGAGACACTTTTCCGTTCGTGTGCCGTCGTTGTCGTCGCCGTCGTTGTCGTTGTCGTTGTCGTTGTTGTTGGTGTTTGTTAACACGATAACTCAAAAAATAATTGAGATAATCAAAATCTGGAAATGCCAAAAGTTTTATATCCAAAAAACTTAGTTTTAGTTCGAAGATGAGCCATTTTCGATTTGACCTTGGGTACTTGCTCTAAGAAAAAAACTCAAAAAATTGACACTTCTGTATGGGTATGGGAGGTACCCGTGAATCGACTCCGATTGGCTTCAAACTTTCTGGGGTTACATTTTTTGAAAAAAATAAGATTCTTAAAGTTTCGGAAGAGAAATAAGATTCTAAAAGTTTGAAGACAATCGAAACCGATTTACGGGTACCTCCCATACAAAATTTTCGAAATTTTGACTAAAATTACCGATTTTTCGACAATTTTGTATGGGAGGTACTCGTAAATCGATTCCGATTGGCTTCAAACTTTCTGAGGTTACAATTTGTGGAGAAAAAATTAGATTCCAAAAGTTTCATGTTGATCGCATTTGCAGAAGTTTGATTTTTGGTCCTCAATTTTTATCGAATTTTTTTTTAGTTGAAAGTGACCGATTTTTCAAGAATATAAAAAGTACGGAAAAGTTTGGGATTACGAATGTAATTCTTTTTATTTTATATTTCATTTTGGAAAACTTCAACAGAAATACGTTGATACGTTTGTGTCGGATGTATTTTAACACTATGACTGTTCTTCATATTTGCAACATATTACTGTTCTTGGGGGACTCCAGGGCCCCATATGTATTTCATATGAAATCTGGACTGTTATAAGAGATAACAAATTAGTGTCTGAAGCAAAGTTGTAATACTCGAGGTTTGCTATAATTTTGTTGCAACAAATATTGCTTATCTCTTATCAGTTCCGCGAAAAACGCAAAAAAACGCAAAAAACGCGAAATTTTCCCACCTCGTTTTGGTGAAGCCGATAAGAAGTAAGAGACTTGCCTCTTCGACAGAAATGTAGATCAGGTCGAATACTACAACTTTGCCACAGACACCAAGTCGTTATTTCTTATCAGTTTCGCGAAAAATGATTATCAAGAACTCGCGTTTTTCGCGTTTTTTCGCGTAACTGATTAGAGATAACGACTTGATGTCTATGGTGAAGTTGTAGTACTCAAGCTGCTCTACAACTTTGCCGAAGATACCAAGTCGTTATCTTTTATCAGTTTCGCGGAATACGCGAGAAACCGCAGAAAAACGGGGAAAACGCGTTTTTTCCTTATCATTTTTCACGGAACTGATAAGAGATAACGAGATGGTGTCAAGAGCAAAGTTGTAGCTCTGGTCGAGTACTATAATTTGCCACAGACCTCAAGTCGTTATCTCGTATCAGTTACGCGAAAAAATGATAAGAAAACATTCGCGTTCATTCGCGTTTTTCACGGTTTTATGCGGTATTTCGCATATTCCGCGAAACTGATAAGAGATAACAAGATAATGTCTATATCAAAGTTGTAAAGCAGCTTAAGTACTACAACTTCGCTACAAGCATCAAGTCGTTATCTCTTATCAGTTACGCGAGAAGCCGCGAAAACCGTGAAAAACGCGAATTTTTTCTTATCATTTTTTCGCGTAACTGATAAAAGATAACGACTTGGTGTCTGTAGAGAAGTTATAGTACTTGACCAGAACTACAACTTTGCCATAGACACTATTTTGCTATCTCTTATCAGTTTTGCGGAATACGCGAGAAACCGCAGAAAACCGTGAAAAACGCGATTTTTTTCTTATCATTTTTTCGCGTAACTGATAATAGATAACGACTTAGTGTCTGTACTAAAGTTGTAGTACTCGACCAGAGCTACAACTTTGCCATAGACACCATGTCGTTATCTCTTATCAGTTCCTTGAAAAATGAGAAACTATGAATTTGCGTTTTTCACGTTTTCGCGGTTTTTCGCGTAACTGATAAGAGATAACGACTTGATGTCTACGGCGAAGTTGTAGTACATAAACTAGTCTACAACACTGCTACAGACACCAAGTCGATATCTCTTATCATAGTCCAGTTATAATATAAAATAGCCATGGGGCCCTGGAGTCCCCCAAGAACAACAGCGTAACATGTTTTGCGGCAGGCTGTATTTTACACATACTCACACATATGTATATGTTTTTTTTTTCATTCGTGTAGAGAAATGTTCAATCTATACAATGAGACTTAACTCCGGTTGGTTTATATACTGTTTAGTACTTTTATTCAACTTTAAAGTTCGCTGGGGGCCCTGGGTGCCCCAAGAACAATCATAGTGTAAATAAATCTAATTATTAGGTAAAATGCACGTAATGGGGTAATTTGAAAAAAAAAGACATAAATTATATAGGCATAACATTTTACTCAAAGGGTATCTTCTCCTGAAATCCTGCGAACGAGTGATTCTTCATCCGAATACATGCAAAACTGAGTGAAAAGTGTTAGTGCAACTGCTCAAGTGCACAATTTCTACTCAATTTCAACTGATAACATGTATAACAGTTTTATGTAAAACGATGAAATAAGATGTGATGAGTGAAAACCCGACGATTTTCGTGGATTTTGGTATGATTTTCCGCGACACGACAGCTCAGTGCTCTCAGTATTGAAACGAATGTTCAAGTGTGTGCTCGTATTCTAGTTACGCATTTTTTTGGAAAATAATTCGTTGTGAAATTTTCGGAGAGAACATTCGTAGCGCGCACATTCATTATCAGTTTTGGAAAAAAAAAGTTGAATTAGTCAATCAGTTGCATAAATCATTTCCGAGCAAATGAATAAAACCAATTGGTAAATTTACAATTTATCGTAATTCCACAAATTGGAAATCTGAACAAAGTTGCACTTGATAAAAATTAAACGCGGTGGTAATTTGTTAATTATTGTAATGGTATCGAGACCTCAACTATGGCGTTTAGGCGTAAATTTAAAGCTTAACAAATATTTCAAACGTTGTGCACATTTTGCCACTGCCCTCAAATTTCCCAAGAATAAGCATTTCACGACGGAACATTTCACAATGAAATTAAAGTCTTGAAATTGCATCACTTTTTCGTGTAATAGAGAAAAACCATTTTTAATTTGAATTTATGCATCCGTGATTCTCATATATTCTTCTGCATTTGTATTGACAAGTCAGTCAAGATTGGACCTAGGTTGTACAAGTTATGTTGGTGTGAAAATGGGGAGACTGTAGAATGCAGTTATAAATTCATTTTCGTTCTCCAACCGTGGAACATTACTATCCGGTTGATGCTATGATAGTCACATTGAATACGCGAATGTGCTACCACAACGATACATATGTAGGCAAAGAATGGTGCCAGCGATTCAATTAAAGAGTTCCCAATAAATTAAACCTGTCTAACGCAATAATTGTCACAAGTAAATGTTTTGTATATGATAACATTGAACATAATTTGAATAACAATCCATACGTCCATGCATTAATGAGACAATGAGACGAAATGGCTTTCGAAGCAATAGGAGGAGATAAACTTTTTGATACATATCCTACTAATTGACAACATATTTTTTTCGCTTCTCGTGCTCTGCAATGTGTTTTTGATTGTGAATTTGAACAAACAACCGAACGAATAATAAACAAACACAAAAAAAGTGAAAAAGTGAAGGTTGAAAAAAACTGGGCAATTCGTCATTTTTTTATTAAAAAAATACATACTTGAAAAAAATGTATCACAATGTGGAGTGGTTGATTGTTATCGGATATTAGTTAAAGTTACGATTAGTAGTGATTCGAATTGTTGCTCTACGGAATTTGGTCAACGTAATGTTTAGTTTTAATCTAAATTTTTTTGGAATGAAACCAAGAAAAATGATATACAAGTTTTCTTCTCAAATGCAATGTTCCTCCCTTATTAAGAGTTAAAATATATCTTTTCGCGTGAACTCTCTTTTTGTTTTACCAGTCGATGT